TTCCTGTCTGTTTCCCTTTATCTATCACCCTTGTCTCATGGCTGCTGGTTCCCAAGGCTGATGGCACCTAAGGCTGAAGGGGTTACCAATGCCAGCTCCACAGAGAAGGGAGCAGATAACTTGGAGGCGATTTCAGTGGCTAGATGTTATGGAATGCCTACTTTGTACCTGGCCTTGTTAGAGATGCTTTCCATGTATGCTCACATTTCATCCTCTCAGTCGTCCTAAGAACCCAGTCTAATATTATGCAACCCCCTAGTTCAAGAATAAAAGCAGTTTGTTTTATTGTATTTTGTCTCTGAAAAACTCTGCCTCCAAAGGTTCTAGAGAAAAAGCCCCCAAGAAATGCCAACTTGAAGGTGTAAGTGGCAGCTTTGACTGACAGATTAGAGATCAGAAAGATGCAGCAACTGGGTCAGTCTCTGAAACCACGAGATTTCCATGACCGATCTGTTTTATGTGCACGTTTGTGCTCTTGGGGGAAAACGTGACTTTACCAACCATGTTAATGGGGGAAAAGTTCTAACCTTTCAATAATTTCAAGAAAACCAGAATATGGTTTAGGTCAAAAAGAGTACTTGATTTTGCAACACCAAATATCCCTTTTGAGGTTTCCCAAAAATGCTGTGGCTATCCCACACAGAACTCTCTCCATATTTTTACCCCAGAAACAATAGTGCTAATTCAGCATGTGCTGTGATTTAGACCACTTTGGAAGGTGCCTTAAGGAAGATATCAAAGAAATGAATACCTGCAGTCTTATAATATCATAAAAATGAAATACAGAATATACCGAATTTCCATGTAAGGTGAACATAGAAACAAATGCTAAATAAAATAAAATGCATTAATTATGTGTTTTAAAAAGTGTAGATAAACAAAGGAAATCATTGGACTTGTTTTAGTAGGTCAAAGATTTAGAGTACTATTAGATACTTATTCAAATAAGTAAGTGGGCTTATTAATAAATTATTATTGGGGACAGGAACAAAAAATGCAAAACATAGTTGAAGATCCTAAATGATTTGTCTGAAGGTTTAGACTCTCCTTCCCTTAGGGATATCACGTGGGAGCCTAGCCTTTCTTTCACTCTGCAACGCCTTTGAAAAGAAGGAGATATATAAGGGGGGTGTGGCCTTTACAGGTTTACAATGCCCAAGTAGAAGGACAGTAAATATAAATAACTAGGTAACAAGATTTACCACGTGGAAGCAGAAAAGAGGTCTGATCCACCAGACACATGTCTGTCTTTACCTTCATCTCTGCATCTACTACCCCAGGACAGAACTCAGCCTGGGGCCAGACTTGAATTTCTGTTGTCCATGCAGAAAGTGACCCAAGTCATTTCCTTAACACTCGGAAACATTTAAAGCTCTTTTTTTTTTTTTTTTTTTTTCCATTTCTAGCCAAGCTGTTTAGAAAGTACAGATGCAGCTGGCACTGTGATATTGTAAGCAGCCTTGCTAAATGGCTCCAAAAGGAAAATAGCTGTCCAAATTGGGTAAATCTGTGGGCTCCATTCACCAATTTTACATCATTATTCACTGGTTCTTCAGACCCAAGAATCGAGGTCAGAGACAGTGGAGTTGCTGCTGCAATTTTGTTTACATAACAACATAAAGACTACCCTGATTACCCTCCATTGCTAGCCCCTTTTCATAAGGAATAAAGTCATTTTAGGGGTTTAGCATCTGATTTGAAGAAACCACCCCATTACTGAAGGGAGATCAGATGTTCATCTAATTTTTTAAAATGTCCATATGAACCACGTGCAACATGTTCTTCCTCTCTGGTCACGCTGAGAGATGATGACATTTTTCAGCACTTTTTTTGATGAAGGTTGTGGCAAAGATCAAAGATCTAAAGTCCACCCTGCTGGTTGCAGTCATGACCCTGGTGGCAGTGAAAATGTGACTTTAGCTTGAGGAATACAAGGTGTAATCCAGCCATGAAGGACACCTATAGAGAAAGGTGCTGTAATTATTCTTTCTTTTCTTCAATTCATTGGATTTAAATATTTAGCAGCCAGATAAGATGATAAGCTGTAAATCAAGCAGTTTCTACTGCTTCATACAACATTTCAACCACACAGGCAGTATACCAGAGTGCTAAGAAGGTGTGCTTATCACCCTTCTAAAGCCTGATAGTATCTGCACCTTGAACAAATTGCTTTCATAGGAGATCATGATAATGCCTACCTTTTGAAGGATTCAATATAGAATTGCATATGAAATAGTACTATATCTGGTACATAAGCATTCAAAGGAAGTGCTTGGGCTCACGTCTGTGGGAATCTGAAGCTTATGTTTTCTGGATCATGTTTCATTATTAGCAATATTAGAAAATAATCCACTATTGACTGAATGTGTCCCTTCAAAATTCATGTGTTGGTACCCTAATTCCCGATGTGATGGTATGTGGAGGCGGGGCCTACGGGAAGTAATGTGGATATGAGGGTAGAGCCCTCATATTAGGATTAGCACCTTTATATAAAGAGATGCCAGAGAGCTTTGTTTCTCTCTCTTTCCCCCCATGTGAGGATACAGCACGAACACAACCACCTGGTAGCCAGGAAAAGGGCATTCACCAGAATCTCACCATGCTGGTGCCCTGATCTCAAACTTCCCTGCCTCTGGAGCTATAAGAAATGATTCTGTTGTTGAAGCCAACCAGTCTATGGCACCTTGTAAGATAGATCATGTCTCAAGTCATCTTGGACTGACTTAAGATATGATCTAATGGCAATAGTCTATCTCTGAAGTCCCTTAAAACGCTCACATTACGTGATTCCTCTTTCTTTGCTTTGTTGTAATAAAACACTTTTCGTAAGCTCCCAGTTTGCTAGGAGCACAGTAACAACTCACCTGAGGAAAGCAGTAAGAATGTTCTTGAAGTCTGACAATCCCGAGAGCTAAACTTTTAAAAATTCTATCAAATAAAAATAATCAGCAAAAATATAATTAACCACCCATTTTTCCTGGCTATGAACAAACTCTATATCATATAATTTCTATTTTTTTAAGTGTTAAGTAGAAATTTCTAAGACATTGTTTTAGTTGCCAAGACATGAAAAAAGAATTAATTTAAAAATTGGTTATCATCATTTTTATTTATTTATTTATTTTGAGACGGAATCTTGCTCTGTCACCCAGGCTGGAATGCAGTGGTGCAATCTTGGCTCACTGCAAACTCTGCCTCCTGGGTTCAAGTGATTCCCCTGCCTCAGCCTCCTGAGTACCTGGGACTGTAGGCATGCACCACCATGCCCGGCTAATTGTTGTATTTTTAGTAGAGATGGGGTTTCACCATGTTACCCAGCTGGTCTTGAACTCCTGACCTCAGGTGATCTGTCTACCTCAGCCCCCCAAATTGCTGGGATTACAAATGTCAGCCACCATGCCCAGCCTGTCATTCTTAATAACAAAAACTAATTTGGACTTATTGCAACTAAATTTATATTATAGCACCATAGTTCATCATGCTTTATAGTTAGTTGTACATGTTTCTGTCTCTCCACCAAACTCGTAAACAATTTTAAGGGAAGGGAGCATGTTTTTGTATATGAGGCACTTAGCATAGGGCAGGCACAATTCACCACTCAATAAATGCATGGTAACTGAATTAATGAATGAATGAAGGGTGCAGCACTGAGTTTTAAGTTACAATGTATGATTCAATGGCCTCTGCAATCCAAATTGGAAGACAGGCCAGAGCGTCAAAGGCAAGTAGTGACGTAAATGAAGTTACGTCCCAGATAACAAAAGTGGATAAGAGGTGCTGCTTTGTTTCAGTAGAATAGTCAGCTTTAAGGTGGGGCACAAAGACTTCATGAAAAAACACAGGATTTTATTTGGATTAGACAAATGGAAAAATCTATCCCAAGAAGAAGGACCACGTAAGTAGTAACATAATATATTCATTTCCTGTTGCTGTTACAACAAATCACCACAAATTTAGAGGCTTAAAAAAATACAAATTCATTATCTTACAGTTCTGGAGGTCAGAAGTATGAAATGGATTCCACTGGGCTAAAGTCAAGATGTCTGGAGGCCTGTATTTCTTTCTGGAGGCTCTAAGGGAGAATCTATTTTCCTGTCTTTTTCATCTTTGAGGGTCTCCTCGCATTTCTTGGCTCAAGGCCCCTTTCCATCTTCAAAGTCAGCAGTGACCAGCTGAATGCTGAATCTTTCTCACATCACATCACTCTGACATTGACTCTTCTGCCACCCTCTTCCACATTTAAGGACACTTGTGATTATTTTGGTCCCATTCAGGTAATTCAGATATTCTCTGTATTTTAATGATGGCTGAAGAGCAACCTTAACTCCATCTTCTACCTTAATCTCCTTTGCCATGTAATTTAACATATTCACAGGTTCCAAGGACCAGGATGTGGGCACTTTTGGGAGGTCATTCTTCTGCCTACCATATGTAATATCAGATGCAGCTGACATGTTTGTGCAACAGTATGACTTCCACAGAAATTTTGTGTGTTTGATGGAAGTTTGAATGTGTTTACAGGACTAGATGAGTAGGAGCCTATTTTTGAAAGTGCTGAATGCCCAAGAAAGGGATTTGAGTTATTTTTAGGAGTAATAACTCTCTTTGCATCAAATTAATATTAATATTGCCATTACTTTTCATACGTTACATATTTGAAAATGATATGATTATAAATTATATTCAATCCAGAATATCATAACTTTTAAAGGTAATAAGACTTAACTGAAGTTTTCAATGGTTAATGAGAGACTTGAAAAACACAATTCAATAGTAGCCTCATCAGTTGCCTCCTCAAAGTTTGAAAGCAGGAAAAAAAAGTAATAACAGTGTTGAAAAGGCATTTTTAAAAGCCCATATTCTAATTGAGACACACAAACATAAAATCAGCAAGGTATACGAACATACGCAAGTCAAAGACAGGTGTATTTTACCTTGCACCTTAGTAGACAAAAGAATGTAAAGATATCTCAGAAAACAAGGAATGCAAGAAATCTTACCAGCAGACCACAAAATGCATCCAGGAAGATCACGGAAGACAAAGAGTAGATAGACCTAGAGGTCCAAATAAGAAAATGGAGCAGTTAGTATCCATATCCTATAGAGAGAAAGATACGCAATAATTTTTAAGTAATGTACAAAATAGAAGGAGAAAACCGTAGTTAAAATTTCAATGTGGGATTAAAAAAAAACGTACCAAAGTGAAATTCTTAGAGAATCTTTGGATAATAAAGATCTTATACACATGTCAAAGTTGTCAAATACTCTAGTATGCTGGGCTTTTTTTCCTTGATTATGGTACAATTATTCTTCTAGCAACTGCATATCAAACAAAAAGGGTTCAGTAAGAATCCCTGTACTGTACTATGCAAAGAATGTATTGTATACATACTCTATGTTAAATGGCCATCCCTTTAATTTTCACTCTAAATTATCCTGCCATTACAGGGGAAAACAACTCCTAAAATTACCAGAAATAATATAACATTCTGTAGACTAGTTTTTGATACATATCTTCCAACTTTCTCTTTCTCATTGTTTATTTACTCCCCTGGATTATATATATCAGGAAGTATCGGTCTTCATAACCGTAGCAAAGCACTTAGCCTTAGAAAGAATCAGGAAAGACGATGGAAAAAATAATACAGCGTTTCCAATTACCCCCAGATGCTTTCATTTATTCTAAGCGTTCTTGTTTAGCTAACTGTACAAATTTTTAATCATAAAAATCTGGTAATGTTCTAGCCCCATGCTCTTGGTTACCCTGGTCTTCCGGCTGATTTCACATGTCTCTTGCTTCTGGCATCATTTTCCCATGAATACTGTGCCTGTGGCCACATGAATTCCAGGGGATACCTGTTAAAGAATGCAGCCTGTTGCAGAGTTTACTTGATTCGATTTTTGTGTTGTGTGTGTGTGTGTGTGTGTGTGCGCGCGCGCGCGTGTGTTATGTGTGTTTCGCTGAGACTGACATTGCAGTAGATTCCTCTGAATCAGCAGCACCATTAGCCACTGGCTATTGCACCATGAATGCCTGCTTCTTTTTTTTTCCCATCTTTATTTCTTTAGGGAATCATCTGGTCACCATTCACTCATGCCTGGAATATCACAGTGGGAAAGATTACCAGGCTTCATGGAAAGACCACTTTACATAAATCTTTAATAAACCAAATGAAAGAGCAGGTCTTGGTGAAAGTATCACTGATGATGGAGATCAAAGACTCAGAGCCTTGCCTGCATTCCAACCATTCTGAAAATAGGAGGGGTGCAACAAAATGCTGGAAAGACAGAGTCGTGGAGAAACTGGCCTAACTAAATGGCATTTGACATTTGATGAGAAAAGACTGTCAAAAATAATATTTGTTTATGAAATTCTTTAAGAATCACATATATTTATTGCATTGGCTTATAGTTGACAGTCAACCTTATCCTTACAGTAAACCCATCAAGGGAAATGAAGAATAAAACAAAATTGACAAGCTGTGGTTCAGTGTCCCTGGACACAGCCCTTGTTCTAACACAGCAATTCTGGTTTCTTCTTTCCATTGAGAGTATTTGGCCTGAGCCAGGATGAATGTTTTTAGAAGTCCTAATAGGTGTATCTGGAAAGACTGGGATGGTTGCTGTGTTTTCCTCTGTAAATAACTAATATGGAACAGACATAAAATAATTCCTACATGGTTATACTCTAGCCTTGCTACTCAGAGTGTGGTCATGACCAACAACCTTGTCATCCCCAGGAAACTTGTTAGAAATGCAGAGTCTCAGGTCCCTGCCTGACTTCTGAAATCAGAAATCTACATTTTAATGGAATCCCCAGGTTATTCAAATGCACATTAATATTTGAGAAGGCTTGATCTAGAATAGCCTCTAAGAGATACCATTTGGCATAGATGTTCTGTGTAATTCATAATTACCAGGAGGTAATAAGTGAAAGAGGGAAAATAAAAATTAAGTGGACGAGGCAGCAGGATCATACACAATACACATGGAGCAGTTGAAATTTCCTTTTTCCAAATTGACTTTGAACTCCATAAATACGAACATAAATGAATGTCAAGGACAAAAAGAAATCCTGTTAGAAGGCTTGATTCCTCATCGTTTTCTCACTTTCCTTTTGTTATGTCATTTATATAAAAAATCTTTCTATATCTTATTAGTGGTCTAGTTTATTAGATTAAGAGAAAACTCTCAGGCATTTTCCAGCAGTTTTTTGAGAACGTCTGGTTAATCTCTCCTCCAGCCTCCTTGAGATCTTCTTAACCTGGTCAAATTCTTGAGAGCTTTCAAAATTTATGCATCTTACTTATTTAAAAGAATTTCTATCATATTTCAGACTTTGTACAGGCCACTTTTTAAACATCACCTTTGATTCTGCACACTACACTTCCTTTAAGCACACTTGCAAATTAAACAGAGGTCAGTTAGGAGCAATCAAAATTATGAAAATGTTTGAGAAATGAAGACCCCCAAACAAAACATTGAGGCCCTCATCAATTTGCCTAGGGAAATGAGGCCAGTAGGGGGCCTGAAGACACGTGTTCCCTACCACAGCATATGACACGAAGCTGCGCACAGCTCATGAACATCAAACATATTTTGTGTTCAGTCACTCTGGACTAAAACCAAAATTCCCTATTAAAAGAACCTATATAGTATTAACTAGAACACTAAATAACATAGTGAAGATCATGTAGGATGAGACCCTAGACAGGATTCCTGGGCTTTTATCCCTCCAAAATGCACCTACAAAGAATATTTATCTTATTGAGCACATATATTGTTCTGTATCTGTCTATTCTCACTCACACTTTCACCAGGCCTACCTTAAGAACCTTGCTGCCATCAAATCTCTCACTGTCTTCTTCCACAGGTCACTCCCCAATACCCTCTATCCAACAGCCCTGCCTTCGACTTCCTTCACTCCTGCATTCTCTTTGGGGAACCCAAATTTCCGAAGTGAGACCTAATTCAAGGGTGGAAGGGCTTGATTTTCCAACTTTCTAACAGATCCCAGGAAAGGATAGCCGAAATTTGTGTTTAATGAAATTGTCAACTATATATCCCACAGCTTAAAAATAACAATATTAAATTTTTATAGCAGATTACAGTTTTAAAATAACTGACATTCTCATCTTATTTAATCCTTTTAAGAATCCAGTGTGATGGATAAAATGTTTATTGCTATCATACCCATTTATAGATAAGGCCCCAAATTTGGGGCAGAGCTCAGTGGTGAGTACAGATCAAAACCCAGTTTTTGCTAAATCTCAGCCAAGTTGCCTCAGAGAGTTACTTTAGCGATTTCCTTGTTGTAGCTGTTTTCTAAGAAGTTGACACACTCGAATGTAAAATTCTGAAAAGTGTACTCTACCACCACTATGATCTTTTACAGTCAAAAATAAGTCCTGAAATCCTAGAAAGGCTACAGTCAGAGGGTGCCAGGGTTCAGTAATGCGACAGAATAGGAGACTGTATTCATCAGCAGGCAGGAACTGAGTAGAGAAAATCAAGTCTTCCTGCCATGTTGTTCTCAACCTTTGTTTGACTGGAGCCATTTTTATTGGGAAATTCACAGAGACAGTAAACTTAGCATTAGCTAAGATCTTTAAGAGCCATGATAGAGTGTGATGCTAGCTGAAATCCTAGTTTCTCTCTTAAAACGTACAAAAATAAATGAATAAGTAAAGGAGGGAGCAGTCACTCACACTGAAATATAGAATTAAGGCAAAAGAGGCCGGGCAGTTCCCCAGTACCTGAAAATGGACCCAAAGACGAGCACAGAAGGTTTTCCCTTCTGCTGTTGCTCCCATAGTTAGCATTCATCTGCACAGTGAACAAGAAAATGATTGGGTTTGGTTTAGACACCTGTTCTGAGAGCAAACTACTTATCTGTCAGTTCAACCCCTTACCTTGCCCCACCTGTCTTTCCTCATCTCGCCCCACATGCTTTCCCCCTTTTCCCCATGATGATGGAAGTATGTGCTGCCTTGTAGGGTCAGTCTGTAGACAAGTCCTTTTTCCTACTTGATGGCATTTATTGAGATTAGCTAAGGCCAGAGTTATCACATTTCTATGTCTCCTAAAGGACACTGTAAATTGTTTGAGCTTCTTCTACTTAGACTGCATAAAGCAAAGTTGAAAGACATGTTTTTCCTTCCCTGATCATTTTGAATTTTTTTGAATTGCATTTGTAAAAGCAGAGTGGCAGAGTGTGTGTGTGTGTGTGTGTGTGTGTGTGTGTGTGTGTGTGTGTGTTTACACATCCATACTTGAACTGATGGAGAGGAAAGTTCAGGACAAAAAAATAAAAAATAAACTCCTTCCATAGTTTGCATATTTTTTCTAAAAGATAGATCACAGATGAGGGTCAATAGGGTATAAAACAATTCCAAAATATCTGAGTGAGAAGATTTTCATCAAACTTTTTGTTTTGTAAGAATCTATTAATAAACTCAAAATGAAAGAAAATGACAAAGGATATATGTTTCTAAGTTTCCATTTTTTAAAAGTACATCCTCTAGAATTATTAGAAATATTTAATGTTATAAACGCCTTATTTTACAAATCATATATAATAAGTACTTATCTGCCTAGTTACTAGAGCATTCATAGTATACAAGAATTTTACATAGCCCTCAGAACACCAAAAGTTCTTCAACATACCAGGTTCTAAATCAACTATGTCTTTGACACTTTTCTTGGTTGTATACATTAGTATAGGGGTTATCAATTCTTTCATAGCTCAAACCACACAGCAAAGTCTTTTTATTTTTTTGAAGAAGGAGCCAATCCAATGGCTAGTCTTTATCAGCTGCAGGGGATCAGTGGACCAGCTGGTGGGGCAGCTTGTAATAGTTTCCACAGTCAAGATGGGTCTCACCTTTGTCCAGCCAAAACCAGATGATAGCACTGCTATGCTCTTCGCAGAAGCTGCCCACTGCTGGTGAAGGAGGGGGGCTAACTTAAGGTCCTCCTTGGTGCCTGAAGCTGCCTTTGGAACTAGTATACTGTATGGGTCCAGTCCCTTCCTTGCAGCCATCATGATCTCCCTCTCCAATTCAATCACCTGCTCGTTATCAGTAAGAACATCATCTCCAGATGCCTCGGAGTGCACTTCAACCACCCCTCTGGGACCCTAGGCCCTTAGAGCCTGCGCAGCCAGCACCCCAGCTCCTCGAAGTAACCTTGAAGCTATCACACCCTCAACAAGTAGCAGTACTTCTAGGAACAGCAGTCTTTTTGACCCAATTAGGAGTCCATTGTTCATTGGGGCAAGCTGTTTTGACTTTGTTAGTTATCATTATGTTGGGTTGATTCACAATGCCTGAAAAAGAACTTGGTTATTTTGAAAGTCTACCTTAAAATGTCCTGTCTGTAGCATGTTAATTACTGATATTAACATGTGTAAGGACCTTCACAAGTTACCTGTATGGGTCTTCTCTCTTCCATGATTCCTCTGATCACAGAAACAACCCCATCCTTTCCCCACCCTCAATGATCCAAACTTCTGGCTGCAGATTCCATATTGAGGTGAATGATGTCCACTGAGTAGTGAAAAATTGTAGGTTTAGAGGCAGGCCCTTCTAAAGCAACCATCTGAAAAACAAAAGAGATCTCAGCCTATGAAATGCTAGCTATGAAATGTAACAAAACCTCCTTTCAGATAATTCACATGGTAGAGAGGCTTTAGTCCAATAAGTACTAGCCTCATGTCAATTTGTCCCAATCTCTTGAACCTGCAATTGAGCCAAAAATTTCCTGAGCCAAGCTTTCTCGCAAGATTTCCTGTACTTCCTGTTTCTACGTGAGCCAGAAATACCATGAGAACGACCTTTCTTGTGGTATTTTTGCACTTCTACTCTGGGATGAAAATAATCCCATATTGGGGGAAATTTTATTTAATTATACAAATATTTTCAATTTTCAAACCTTCAAATGAAGTGGCTTCCTCTTTGGGAATGAAAATTTGAAATGGTGATTGCTTGGCCCTGACTCATCTCCACTAGGAAGTATTCGTGCTCAGTGATCCAACATTTTGTAATTTTTCTAAGATATTTTTACAAGGAACTAGGTAAAACAATACAGAGGATACAATGGAAATTTATATCCTTGGATTTTTTTAAAAAGTGATTCTTAAAGAAATGAACAATGAAGTGTTGTATTCTTAGTATATTAGTGTATGTGATATATTATATCATATATTTGTTTTCTTTGTTCTTAACCCCTTTGTTCCAAGGGTCAGGATATCCTGATGCTAAGTACTATTGCAAAATAACTGAACAAAAATAAAAATAGTCAAATACTTAGGAAACTCTTCAGTTGTTATGTCAAGGAAGTTTGTGAGTGAGGAGTGAGTTTAAGACATTATTCAGGAAATATGATAATAAAGCGAAAGAGTCTGCATGTGCTTATTAAATAAAATCATCTCAATCCTAGAGAGCCTTGATGCCCCCAGCCTGATGAAAGGGTAAGAGAAGGACTGGACAGGCTGTCAAAGTGGTGCAAGTGTCAAACTGATATTTGAATCCTTTCATCTCATACCAGAGAGGGAAATAAGGAAGGGCACATCTTTCTAATCAAGTAGACCATTGATTATTTCCTAATTGTGTTGTATGAATATCTGGTTGTTATAGAAAGAGCTGCTTGATCAATATTTCAATAACAAAATTCACCAAAAGCAGTGTCTTCAATGTCTTTATTATTGTTTTATACCCTCTTGACCCTCCTTCACCTGTTAGAAAAGAGAACAGGTTTGCTAGTATACTTTTCAATCTAGAAAAAAAGAAAAGTCACTTAATCCAGTATGGAAAACTAAAGTTATTAACCATAGGTTTAGAGAAATAATAATAACAATAAAATTACAGTTGTCTTTGCTGGTTTCAACTTTGAAAAAAAAAATGAGATAGGAGCAATGAAAATAAAACATACTCTACAGTGATCTCCTCTTCCCCAAGTTTCCTCCTCTCTCCCATGAAGAAATATCAAAAAATTGTGTGATAAACCAGCCTCGAAAGGAATGTAGGGCAGAAGCAGCAGATTATACATCAGCAAAATGGCATGCCAAGCAAAATAAAGCACTTCACAACGTGGAGACGTGAGGAGAGGAAGATGGGATTGCTACAATGTCCTCCAAGAAAACAGGGGCTATGCACCTGAGTGCACAAGTTCAAATTGTTCCTACAAACCCAATACAAAACCACCCCACTTTCGTTTCTGTCCAGGGCCTTTCACATAAGCTACAGGGGGCATCGCCTTTTGTTGAATTGGTTCTTACTTTCAGAATTGGCACCTCCATCTCTGAGACAAGGAACAAGCGGCATGGCCCACAGTTGAGGTTGCCCTCAATTCAACCACTCTCAGGTCGGGGACACAGTAGTCAGTGGCCCACATAATAAGTCAACAGTGTTCTCCCTGCAGAAGGTGAATCGTTAACACTCTTTTCTTTCTTTCATTGCCATTTATGCCCCCGTGAACATCCTTTAAAATTATTGTTCCTTTGAAAATGGATTTTGAATGGCCCTGAGCCACATGTCCAGGCTATGCAGGCCACTGCCATATGCATGAGGATGTTGATGCTTCCCTAATTCGCATCTTTTGGAGTTAGCTGTGGAATGCGATGCAATGTTATTTCCCTTCCAGCTGAAGGGCAGCTGAGGTTACGAAGGGATTTGACTAACAGGTCATAACCCAGTTAGGTTTGCTGAGAACCAAGTGACACAGGAGGGAGGGATCAAATGGAGGCACTGAGGATCCACCAAGCCCATCCCACCACTGGTCTTGGTGACTGGGCCACGTGCCCCCTAGCGCCCCCCAGACCTTCCAGAGAGAAGCAGCTGAAGATTGGTTCTGCAGACGCTCAGCTTCCCCTGGTTTGTGTTTGTTTGTTTGTTTGTTCATTTGTTTGTTTGTTTGTTTTAGAACTCCTTGGGGCTTGCAGGGCTTGAGCCTGCACCACAGGGGTGACTCCTCACCTGACACCTCCAGATAACTGGCCTGCGGCAAGGCGGGAATCCTTGTGTGAGGTTAGCAAAGGGGAAGCCCTGCTCCTTTGCCTGAAGTCCTTAAGACCTAAGCCATTTGACAAACTTTGACAAGCACCAAAAGAGAATTCAGAACAAATAAATCAGAAGAAAGAAGAGGAAAAGCAAATGCTAGAACTTAGATGGTTTTTTTTATTTTTTTTTTTTCCTCTCGCTGTGGTTCCAGCTGTAGCCTGGGATTAATTAAGTGCTGTGAACTCAGTGCCAGAAAGAGGAGGGGAAAAAAATGCATTCTATCTCTAAGGAAGGAGTACAGTAACAGTTTCTCACCAGTGAGAAAACTAGGGAAGTGGATCGCTCTCGTCGGCAGTGTTTGTGGAGGGCCTGGAGAGACAGGGAGGTTGTGCCAGGCTGGAGGAGGCTCGTCTTTCTGAAGCTGGAGAGGATCTTACGGGGGTTCGCCTCTCCCTGCCTGGGAAGAATTTCCCCTGTGGTAGCAGCAGCAGCTGCAGCAGCAGCAACAGCAGAAGCAGAAACAGCAGCAGCAGGAGCAGCAGCAGCAGCAGCACCACTACCTCCTCTTCTGGGGCACAAGGCAGAATGCCTGTGCTAGAGCGCTATTTCCACCCAGCAGAGCTAGGCAGGAGGTGGAAAGGCCCAGAAGGTGTGCTGCCCTCCTCCCCGGGAAGCCGGCCGGGGTGCCAGCAGGGGCCGCTGCCCTGGGACTTGCCAGAGATGATCAGGATGGTAAAGCTGGTTTGGAAATCCAAAAGTGAGCTGCAGGCGACCAAACAGAGAGGCATTCTGGAAAATGAAGATGCTCTCCGCAGCTTTCCAGGTAAA